ATGTTATTATAGCTTAAGGTATAACTTCACGTAGTAAAGAAAACTTTTGAACCCCTTTATAGCCCCATCTTCGTTACACGGGTTGTCACTTAAATGTACATGAATGTACACTATATAACTATGCAAGCTTATAATTATAAATTAAACAAATTGATCGAAACTGTGTTTTTCAATTAAAAAACATTATTTCCCAATATGTAAAAATGTTAATCTCAATTGTGACCCTGCAAGGAGATCAAACACAAAATGGAGTTATTTGTATATTACGTTGAGTGCTAAATTTCTGTAAAATATTAATCTACAAAATTTGAAGAAAACGTTGATGGCAAAATATTGCCCCATTTAAACACATACAAAAAGTAACAATTTGAAAAATATTGAATCTGCATATTTATATAACTTGGGTCTTGCTGTTCTTAAGGACTAATGACCCTCTGCTCCAAATTTCACGAATTTTTTTTTAAACTTCCCAACATTGATTTTCATCAAGAGCTATAGCATCAAAATCAAATGAAAAATAGTATGAGGTATGAAGCGCTGCTTATTTTTTAAGAAATGATTTTTATGTCAGATCATAATATGAAGAAATTTTAACAAGGAGATTAGGAAGAGTAATAATTTATTATCACAACATAAAATTAGAAATATGCGGTGTATATGAAAATAATATTTAGTGTCATACCTACTAAATTCATATTAGAAATCATAATGAAGCGCTGCTTCCTAAGTCAGAATATCACAATGTTATATGTAGTTGTAAGAAAACAATACATCTGTTATCAAGAGTTATCTTTCTTATAAATATTTTTTCATTAGAAAAAAAATGTAATACTAATAAAAATTCTACATTTGGTGCTTGATACATTAAACCATTTTTAAAATGATCGTTAAACAGATAGAACTTATTCAATTTTTAAGGGTGTTAAAACTGGATTTAAATGTTTTTTTGTCAAACATAATAAAACAATTTGAAAAGTACAGTCAAAGGAAATATAAGGTAATGTTTCCATGATATGTTCAGTTTGATCGAATTGACTGCTCAAAGGTCCCGATAATTAAACTCTGATAAAGTAAACTATGAGTAATACTAGGATATTTTACTTGGAAAGTTATCTCTCTTATCAGAGGGTCGGTCCCCCTTAAGAAGAATATTAAGAGGATAACAACTGACACATTTTACGCAAAATCTTCATTTTTTTTGTATAGACTAATCCAAGCCTCGGAGGTCATGGGTTTATATACAAATATCTTTTTTTTAATTATATTTTTGGAATATGATGAAGAATGTAAGTGCAATAAACTCTGTTTAAAAATTAAATTGACTTCAATTGATTAACCTGATTTTATTGAATTTATTGAATGTATATGTTTTTTGAAGTTATATTTCAATTTCTCAAAAGTTTAAAGTACATGTATTAGATTAAATGCTTGAATGTGGTTTAATACTTGAATATACTGGCATATTCTGTGTTGGCGTTTTCAAAATTTGCATTCAAAGAGAAGTAATGTGTATGATTTTGAACTGAAACAAATTATGGAGTTAAATAACAATAAAAGTTTACTTTGGGTAATAAATAAGAAAATGAGTAGCTAATTAAAATCTAAAAAAAAAAAAAAAAACGATGAAATATTATATTTTATCAATTTAAAAATTTGTACTTCTAACATGTTCTGTGTATAAAAATATATCATTTTATCATAAAATGTATCATTATATCATATACAAATATAATATATTGTTTGTTTGTTGCTTAACGTCCCTCCCGAGAATTTTTCACTCATATGGAGACTCCACCACTTGCCGGTGGAGGGCTACAAGTTTTGGCCTATACTCGGCACTCAGGGCCATTGAGCAGTGAGGGATCTTTTTCGTTCCAGCACCGACTGCGACACGCGGGATCTCGGTTTATGCGGTCTCATCCTATAGACCGGTCTCCACGTCCCACAGTGGGATTCGAGCCTTCGGCTCAGATGAGCTAAAAATGAGATACGTATTTTCGTTCAGCAATTAGTAATCTAAGTCTGAAAGATTCGCTCAGTATATTACTTAGCCAGACACAGCGAAAAGGCAGCTCTGTCACGTGATGAGCAAATGGCTTAAAGAAGATGCAGTTTTATCTCGGACTAAAACATTTGAAAATGAAAATATTAGAAAACATAGGACACATAAAAGCACCGTAGAATTTAATAAAAATATGTGGAATATTTCTTTTCACTTTTTAAATATAGTACTATTCTATCAATGGAATTCATTTGAAGTTTTGCGTTTTGTTAATTCATATGTTAATTCTTAATTAATCTTGAATCTATCTTCTAAAATTTCGATAATTTCAGTCGATCGAAGGTATGGTTTATATTTTTGGACGACTAAATTATTCAGTTAAAATCATTCTTACATATACGCTAATTTTCACTCCTTGTTCTATATAGAAAGAAAGTTATTCACTTGTTTTCTTCACATATCAAGCATATTCTGATAGATACTCCATTTTATTTATTCTTGAATGAATGAAATAAAAACACAAAGGCACTGTAGTTTGCCATAATCAGTAAAAAGACTTAAAATAACAATGTAGAATAAAATGTCAACTATACAAACGCACAAGAAGCAAGAGAGATACACAAGAAGCAAGAAGATTAAAGTACAGTGCCTTTGTGTTTTTATTTCATTCATTCAAGAATAAATTAAATGGAGTATCTATCAGAATATGCTTGATATGTGAAGAAAACAAGTGAATAACTTTCTTTCTATATAGAACAAGGAGTGAAAATTAGCGTATATGTAAGAATTAACAAAACGCAAAACTTCAAATGAATTCCATTGATAGAATAGTACTATATTTAAAAAGTGAAAAGAAATATTCCACATATTTTTATTAAATTCTATGGTGCTTTTATGTGTCCTATGTTTTCTAATATTTTCATTTTCAAATGTTTTAGTCCGAGATAAAACTGCATCTTCATTGAAGCCATTTGCTCATCACGTTACAGAGCTGCCTTTTCGCTGTGTCTGGCTAAGTAATATACTGAGCGAATCTTTCAGACTTAGATTACTAATTGCTGAACGAAAATACGTATCTCATTTTTAGCTCATCTGAGCCGAAGGCTCGAATCCCACTGTGGGACGTGGAGACCGGTCTATAGGATGAGACCGCATAAACCGAGATCCCGCGTGTCGCAGTCGGTGCTGGAACGAAAAAGATCCCTCACTGCTCAATGGCCCTGAGTGCCGAGTATAGGCCAAAACTTGTAGCCCTCCACCGGCAAGTGGTGGAGTCTCCATATGAGTGAAAAATTCTCGGGAGGGACGTTAAGCAACAAACAAACAATATATTATATTTGTATATGATATAATGATACATTTTATGATAAAATGATATATTTTTATACACAGAACATGTTAGAAGTACAAATTTTTAAATTGATAAAATATAATATTTCATCGTTTTTTTTTTTTTAGATTTTAATTAGCTACTCATTTTCTTATTTATTACCCAAAGTAAACTTTTATTGTTATTTAACTCCATAATTTGTTTCAGTTCAAAATCATACACATTACTTCTCTTTGAATGCAAATTTTGAAAACGCCAACACAGAATATGCCAGTATATTCAAGTATTAAACCACACTCAAGCATTTAATCTAATACATGTACTTTAAATTTTTGAGAAATTGAAATATAACTTCAAAAAACATATACATTCAATAACTTCAATAAAATCAGGTTAATCAATTGAAGTTAATTTAATTTTTAAACAGAGTTTATTGCACTTACATTCTTCATCATATTCCAAAAATATAAGTAAAAAAAAGATATTTGTATATAAACCCATGACCTCCGAGGCTTGGATTAGTCTATCCAAAAAAACGGAAGATTTTGCGTAAAATGTGTCAGTTGTTATCCTCTTAAAATTCTTCTTAAGAACAGCAAGACCCAAGTTATATAAATATGCAGATTCAATATTTTTCAAATTGTTACTTTTTGTATGTGTTTAAATGGGGCAATATTTTGCCATCAACGTTTTCTTCAAATTTTGTAGATTAATATTTTACAGAAATTTAGCACTCAACGTAATATACAAATAACTCCATTTTGTGTTTGATCTCCTTGCAAGGTCACAACTGAGATTAACATTTTTACATATTGGGAAATAATGTTTTTTAATTGAAAAACACAGTTTCGATCAATTTGTTTAATTTATAATTATAAGCTTGCATAGTTATATAGTGTACATTCATGTACATTTAAGTGACAACCCGTGTAACCAAGATGGGGCTATAAAGGGGTTCAAAAGTTTTATTTACTACGTGAAGTTATACCTAAAGCTATAATAACATTAATATACTTGGAATAAACGTTTTGAAAATATGTGTTTTAATTGTTAGGCTACGCTGATGAATTTCTTTCACATCTCTAAGCTAAACAGTTGTGGTAAATGTGAGTATTGCCCTTCATTGGCCTGTTGTTTTTATTAAAGTTAATTTCATACAAACATTGGGTTACGGCGGAGTGTTTTTTTTTTAAATGTTATTTTTTTCATTCCTTAATTACACCATATCTGCTTTTCCGTATATTTAAGTGATCCTTGTGTGTCATCCTTTTTATTTTAATTTCATTTATTTATTCATTTATTTCAATTATTTTAGAAAATCAGTCAGAACTCTTTGTTCATTCAGAATTGTTTGAATACCAGAATTCAAAGCGTTTGATTTACATTATCTTCCTCAAGAATTTTACAAATATATTGTTGTAAAATCCAGATATGTATCAACTGCGTCAATAATTCTTTTATTAGTACCTTTGGTATCCTTTGCAATATACTTTGCATTTGAACATCTGACACTCATATAAAAGGAGCTAAGATCATTTTCATTTGTATACAAATTTATTGTACAACAATTCTCAATAAATCTTCAACAAAAATATTAAATATAAACAAGTATTTACAACTGTGCGATATGATGGTAAAATGTAAGATAATGATGTTTTGTTCAGATGATTACTTCCTACCAAGAATAGCAGAAAATAAATAACGAGCAGGAATAAGCACGTGATCTATAATATGCACTACTCCGTTGGTGGCGCTTATATCGGTTTTTGTTACGTGGGCGTTGCGATTGACTGTGACACCTCCGCTACCTGGAGGTAAAACAAAAAATTCAGTTATGTTCAATACTACCATAATTTCATCTGGTGAAATTAAATCTGCAAAGGTAAAAATCCCATGTACATAATACAGGATAAAACTTACTGCTGACTCCGAGTCTGATGACGTCATGGTGAGTATCAAGAGTTCTGACATATTCGCGGTTGTAAAGACCAGCTGAGTATTCAGTATGTGGAACAACATGGTATTCAAGAATCTCTAAGAGATTAGAAAAAAACTTCATAGAAATACAAAAAGATTTAAGACAAAGCAAATATCCCTTTCAAAAATAACAAAATCCTCTAACTTTTCCAAAATGTGTACCTTTCAAAAGTCTTGGATTTCTTCTAAGGTTGTCTAAAACGTGACTACCAAGTCTAGCGAAAGCTGCATTTGTTGGTGCAAATACTGTCAGTCCATCGCCTGAAATCGTACACAAATAGATATTATAAAGGCATTATCTTTCAAACTTTTCTCGTGATTTGACGTTAAGAAGAAATAAAAGTATGAGGCAAAATTAATACCTTGTAGAGCTCCGGCCAAGCCAGCTGTCTGGACCTTTGACAGGAGAGTGCTGAGGTCACTGTTTCCGGCCACGAGGTCCACAATATTTCCTTCAGGGGGCATCATAACGGTGTCGATAACGTGGACCATTCCGTTTGATGCGGTGAGATCAAAGTGGGTGATTTTGGATCCTTCCACTGTCACAACCTTTAATTAAAGGATGTGAAAAGTGTAAAGATTATAATTTTCATCATAGTATTTAACAAAAGAAAGATCCTAGACTTACATGGTTATGGCTGTATATGTTGAATCTGATTTTGGTTCCCGCCAGAGTCTCCAACTGAAGCTCATTAGAAGCATCAGCTTTGTGGATGGATCCCTTGACCACATGATATTTCAGAATGTTGGCTAGAGCAGTGCTGTCCTTTGAAAGACTATCAAGTGTAGCTTGTGGAAGTTTGGCAAAAGCAGCATTTGTCGGAGCAAAAATAGTGAATTCACCTAAAAAGAACATACTGAAAGTTTTAAAAAAATCATTCTTGAGATAAAATGTTTCTCTTTTTTATAAACTTAAATACACATTTGAAAGATCTTGCAAACATCTTGGAAAGACAAATTTACAAGGGAGAAACTTCTGATAATCGACGACGATTATATAATTTGAAGTGGCACACACATTCTTATCTGTAATCATTGTTACCAGAGGTAAAGAAGTAACTTTGATTCTAACATGTCAGACATTTGTGACCTTAAGGCATATGAATGGATTTACAATATTCATTTATCATCTTAAATGATTATAAGCGTACCTCCTAACAGAGCATCAGCTAATCCTGCTTGCTGTACAAGAGCAATGAGAGTTGTTTCCCCGTCGTTTTGAAGAACTTCCACAAGATTTCCAGCGAAAGCACTCTGTACAATCACAGCCAAAGTTAGGTAGGAAATCATTCTGAGTTTTAACTAGTTCTATGTGGTTTGAATTGAACTGAGTAATGCACAAAATCTTCCAAGTTTTATAGTATCCATCCTTTATGTAAGGCAAAGAGCAATTTTATATAACATGGAACAGCATCGGATTCGAAAATGTGACTCTCAAAGGTTTAATAATGCCCTCATGGAATTGTTGGGCACCAAAAGGGAAGTAATATTCAAAAATTACTACTGTAACATTGTCTTTCATTTTTTCTTTGTTTCCATGTTTAAAAAAAATATGGCAATTAGCATCTGGGTTACATACTTTTGGTGAAGATTAACAGCTTAAAACAAATGATATGTTAGGATTAAAGGAAGAATCTTAGGAGGGCCCCTACACGTTTCTTCCCGTTTCCTCAGGCATTCGTCCGTTGACCTGGACAAAGTTTCGGACATAAGGTGTTATCATGTGTAGGATAATACCGACTTTTATCAAAAAGAAGATAACTAAATGTGACACAGATGTCCATGACTAACCTAAGACACTTCCAGAAAAAAAATGTTCTACATGTAATCAAGTGAAGTCGGTAATGTTAAGATTTACACGAAAACACATGTACATACACTCCCCCAAAATATAACTTCGACAATGTAAATTTTTATCTGTTTACGCATTGAAAATTGTATCATTTTCAATGAAACTTGTATATTATTACAATTTTTACAGTCTTTAAACGTAGTTCCTCGGTGTTTGTAGTTTTAAACAGAAACAAATCTGGTTCTGCTTTACCACTTCATATTCAAGGAAAAAGTAAGACCTTTTTTTCTGCAGAAATAATTCAAGAACTTCTAAATGTATTATAAATTTATGCTGTACTCCAAAGAAACTTACTTTTAATACAATTAAAAGAAACAAGTATTAAAAAGCTAGCCAATACCCCCAGAAGAGAACAACTCTCCCTCTTTCTTTCTCCTCTCAGTTATTCAGTATTTGTCTCCAGAAATTCCATTGCATGTTTAGACGCCAGAAGCCAGAAGCAAACTTGGTCTAATTTTAGTGGAAGATGTAGGTTCCAAATATCACAGTATCTGCAAGCGTATAAAAAACAATGAAAGAGAATGGGACAGATAGACTAACAGAGAGAGAGAGAGACAGACAGGAAACAGTTCACTTTGGTTTCACTGGTAGGGGACTAATAACGTTATGAACCGACATATTTTATGTATAACCTAAATGTAACTATTTCTTGAAAGCTCGGTAAAATCACAGAAATATAATCACAGTGTATGGTTTAGAATCTAGCTATTATTCAGTAAAAAGATACATGTTTACTCAGATGGACCATACAAAAAGTCCTTACACTGCCATACCGCATACAAAATAATTTCAGACTTAAATTTTTATATTGCTGAACAAAAATAACGAAAATACTTATCTCATTTTAGCTCACCTTAGCCCGTTATCTGTCGTCGTTAACTTTTTACAATTTCATCTTCTTTTCCAGAACCACTGGGCCAATTTTAACCAAACTTGCCAAATATCCTTGGCTAAAGGGGACTCGAGTTTGTTCAAATGAAAAACCACGCTTTCTTCCAAGGGGGGATAATTATGAATTAATGAAAATTTAATGGCCACGTTTAGAAATCTTCTTAAAAACCAGTGGGCAACTTTTGTGGAAGCATCCATGAGTTGTATTTATTCAAGTTTCTTCGAGTCATGACCTTCGGTAGGGTGGGGCCACAATTGACAATCACTAGACGGTAAAAGTATGACAAAGAAATCGGAAATCCATAGGAAAAATCTTTAAAAATCTTCTTAAGAACAGCAAAGCTATGATTGGTGTAGATTCAAATTTGTACAAATCATGACCCCCGGGGGTAGGTTGGGTCCATAATGAAAAATTAGTTTTTAATAGGAATAATACGAAAAATCTTTTAAAATCTTCTTTTTAAGAACACCAAAGCCATGATTAGTCATACAAAGGTAGTAAAGATTCAAGTATGTTCAAATCTTGATCCCTGGAGTAGGGTGGGGCCCAAATGGAGGATCAACGTTTTTCATAGGAATATACAGGAAAGATCATTAAAAATAATTTTCTCAAGAACAAGGGGGGGGGGGAGGGATAGAAGATAAATTCTACTGGAATATAATTTTTAAAAATCTTCTAAAGCCATCTATATTGAAGCATCCTCAGTTAGTAGAAATTTATTATTTTTTTCAAATCATGCCCCCCCCCTTAATAGGATGGGACCACTTAAATTTTAAACTTTTCAATACTGATACTGAACTGATTTCTGCGTTTTTCTAGCCAAAGTGCTAAGGTAAGTGAATGTGGCCAATGGGCCTCTTGTTTATTTAATCAAGGAACTGGGACAGGCAAGAATGTAAATATATGGAATACTGTTATTAGCTCACCTCAGCCGAAGGCTGAAGTGAGCGTTTCTGATCAAAGTTCGTCAGTTGTCTGTCGTTGTTGTTGTCGTTGTCAGCGTCGTCGTTAACTTTTTACAATTTCATCTTCTCTAGAAACACTGGGCCAATTTCAATCAGACTTGTCAAAGAGTATCCTTGGGTGAAGGGATTTCAAGGTTGTATGAAGGGCCACTCCAATTTCCAAGGGGAGATAATTAGGAAAAGGGAAAAATTGGGTGTCGTCATTTAAAATTTTCTCAAGAACCACTGAATCAGAAAATATGAAATTTATTTTAAAGCTTCTTGACATAGTGAAGATTTAAATTTGTTCAAATCAAGATCCCCGGGTTAGCGTGGTGCCACTATTGGCGATAAAGTTCTATATGGGTAGATATAGGAAAAATCTTTAAAATCTTCTTCTTGAGAACAGCAAAGCCATGGTCAGTCATAACTACATGTATTTAGAAGCATCCATGGGTAGTGTAAAATACAAGTTTGTTCAAATCAATGACCCCTGGGGGTTTGCTGGGGGCACTATAGGCGATTTTACATAGGAATACATAGAAAATCTTTTTTCATGGAACAGCAAAGTCGCGGTCAGTCAAATTAATATCGAGGCTTCCACAGGTAGTGTATATTTAGGTTTGTTAAAATCATAATATTAATCGACCTTTGGGTGGTAAGTTTTACATAAGAATATAAAGGGGAAAAGAATCTGATAAAAAGCAAGAATGGCCATAGTTTTTCAGGTGAGCGTCGTGGCCCATGGACCTCTTTTTTTAAACAATGAAACATATGGAGATAACGAACATTTTATTTGATTAAATATCACTGTCAAATAAATCAAACAAAATATTCTATTATGATCAAACAGTTCACGCACGTGATTATTTTGTGCTCAAACGCTCTTTGTAATGCAGTTTGTATCTTCTCATTATATTATATTTATATAAAATATTAATGATAATTATATTTTTATGACTAGAAAATGCGTTCATACACAGAACATTTCGTTGAATACAGAAGTACAAATTTCTAAAATATTTCTAAAATATAAAATATAATATTTCATTATTTCATTATTCTTTTTAGTTTTTTACTCGGCTACTCATTTCCTTATTTATTACCCAGCGTAAACTTTTAATCTTTTTAATTCAATAATTTGTTTCAGTTGAAAATGACACACATTACTTTTCTTTAATGTATATTTTAAAAACGTCAACACAGAATATGCCAGTATATTTAGGCATTAAACCACATTCAAGCATTAAAATTTAAAACATTCAATCACTCTAATCAGATCAGGTAAATCAATTGAAGTCAATTTAATTTTCAAACAGAGTTTATTGCACTTACATTCTTCATCATGTTCCAAAAAATATGATAAATAACAAAAAAATATTATACAAATATTTACAATTGTACAATGTAATGATGAAATGTTAGATGATACAATTTGTTCAAATGATTACTTCCTACCAAGGATAGCAGAAAATAAATAACGAGCAGGAATAAGCACATGATCTATAATATGTACTACTCCGTTGGTGGCGCTTATATCGGCTTTTGTTACGTGGGAATTAAGATTAACAGTCACACGACCAGTACCTGGAGAATAAAAAAATCCAGATATTGTAAAATTATAACATCTTGTAGATGACAATAGAGATGAAAAAATTCAAGAAAAGTCTTTACAGATTATTGATAAAACTTACTGCTGACTCCGAGTCTGATGACGTCATGGTGAGTATCAAGAGTTCTGAGATATTCGCGGTTGTAAAGTCCAGCTGAGTATTCAGTGTGAGGAACAACATGGTATTCCAGAATTTCTTTAAAATGAAGATGTATAAAGGCAATTTGAAGGAAAAGTATAGAAAGGAAGTCCCCAAACTGTTTTAATAAGTTCAAGTACCTTTCAAAAGCCTTGGGTTTCTTCTAAGGTTGTCCAAAACGTGACTACCAAGTCTAGCGAAAGCTGCATTTGTTGGTGCAAATACTGTCAGCGCATCGCCTAAAAATGTACAGAAATATTAATTTATTATTGAATTGAGTTTGTCTTATTGGAAAGATGTAATTAAGGTATTCAATGTATAACGACCATATTTTATACCTAATAAATGAATGGTCCAATATTTTAAAGCATGGTTACATTTTGAAGATATTGTCAAATAAAAATACTCCACCAAAGGAATTTACAACATTTTGATTATTGACCAATTTAATCGCACCTTGAATTTTACATAGAAGTCTATGGGCAGCGCATGTTTTATTAAGGTATTGTAAACAGTAAATTGAATTTGATATACATCTCTTGGTGAAAATAAGCATAAATTCTCTCTTTATTAATATATGACATAAAATGAATCATTTACCACATATATTTGACAAAACCAAAATTTTCTTCTTTTCATCAAGGGCAGTTAACTCTTCAAAACCTTTTAAGGTGCAAAATGACCAGCTTCTTACATGTTATCAGTCATGTGAATTTGGTTTATTTCCATTTCATCGTTATCCAGCAACGCATATTTAACTATTTTAAAATGATTCAAAATTGTTCAAAATCCAATCATTATACATTGAATACCTTAAACAGTTGAAAGATAAATTGTAAAATACCCTGTAGAGCTCCGGCCAACCCAGCTGACTGAACCTTTGAAAGGAGAGTGCTGAGGTCACTGTTTCCTGCCACGAGGTCCACGATATTTCCCTCAGGGGGCATCATAACAGTGTCGATAACGTGGACCATTCCGTTTGATGCGGTGAGATCAAAGTGGGTGATTTTGGATCCTTCCACTGTCACAACCTTTAAAGATTTTGAAAAGCTTCATTGTTTTGAGGCATCTTTACATGTTGTTATGGCTTATTCATCGTTTCCTTCGTACACGATAAAAAGTTGAGTTTTCCATTTGAATTCGTATATCGACAATTTTAATTTCTGTATTGAGAATTCAGAATTGTTTGTTCTCCCCCGCCCCCTATACTAGTATTTTTGGATCAATGGGAATGTTCTTTCTTCTTGGGGAAAAAAAGCTCTCTTTGCAATTTTACAGACATTACTGTTTTACTGCGTTAAAAATTCCAAAAATGCCACAATCCTAAAAATAGAACATAAAAAGTCATACACACAATATTGTGACTAGAATAAACTTAAAGTTATAAGACAAGATAATTTGGCAAATTGTATATATACAAAAAGTGTCAAAGATGGGGTATCTTTTCTGCAATACGCCAAAGGGTACAGTGACTAGTCAACATTCTAAAAATACAACAATCCTAGAGAATAGTATACAGAAAATCATGTCGTAGTGTTGTGACTAAAATAAATTTAAAAAGGAGGAGGGGTGGGTGGTGGTAAAAACTTCCACACGTATTTGTAAACATTGAATGAAAAATGGCGAGTGACGCTATCAAGTTGCGCATGCGCAAGTACCGAAATCAGTATGTTATATTTATAGACAATGGCGGTAATTATGAACACAGTATCCATAAATGTTTTATGTTCATAAATCTCCTTTAGTGCAGAAAAGGTTTTGACCTTAAGTCTTCAATAGCAAAACGAATTTGAGAAAATGCCTTCAATCTTAGAATGAGAGGAGAGTGTTTTATTAAAAGACTCAAGGAAAAAAATAAACGATGAAAAATAAATTTATGTGCTGTAAGGTTTGAAAATATTAAGTGCCTGTCAGTTTGTTTAATGTTTAAATGCACCACAACTGGCTCCAAGTAGCAGAATAATTTTAATTTTGTACTTTAACTTCTGTACATAATAATTAAAGTATGTATTCGTTTCAAAATCTTTTCCAAGTAAAATTGCTAATGATTTGTGTTAAATTGACACGATTTCGGGGAAAACAATGAGTTGTATTTTAGAACCATAATTATTTATTTTAATTATAATTTATAATATTAAATCATTATCTGTTTGACGATAAAATCCTTATTGACATATTAAAACGCATGCGTCGCTTTCTTACAGAAGGGGCTTGTATAACGTAAATCGTGTAAAATACTAGTATCCTTTCTAACATTTAAATTTAAGTTAAAAATTTGCATATATACAATCCATATGTAGATCTATATATGCTTTTTGTATAGTAACTTGAATTCGTATTGAATTACTATTTAATAAAAATTTTGAAAATATTGTCCAGAATCCCTCAATGAACATGCAATATGTACATACAATAAAGAGTTATATATATATATATATATATATATATATATATATATATATATATATATATATATATATATATATATATATATATATATATATATATATATATATATATATATGGACAATATCATTGGTTGAAGATTTTTTTCTACATTTCTTTTTTGAAAAAATAAGTGCCTTATTGTATTTTAAAAAGTATATTTCAAAAGTTAGACATTTTTATATTTCTCGATCGAAGTAAAGGGTATTGTAAAATGTATTGCAGATATTGACGGTAACCATCATTTTGTATTGTTCTGTCAAGTGTATGAGGAGTCAAGAATAAGATTGAGACTAAAAAAAGTACCGCTGGTATGTAAAATCTATATGAAGACATTTGTACACGTACAACTGAAAATTATGATGGTGAATTTTTTTTTGCATGATATGTTGGTAGAGCATTTTATCTGACCCCCCCCCCCCCCCAAAAAAAAATAAATAAATAAAAGAAAGAAAAGGAAAGCAAATTTTCACCAAACCATACAGTTATAGTTAGGCATAAAATTCATAATATTCTCCCTTGTAATATTTACAAATACGTTGATTGTGAATGTTTACATATTTTAGACTAATTGTCTACTCAGTATGTTTATAATTATAATCATACTGAGTAAACAATTAGACTATGTTAATATTGTAATTGCTACTTTCTTATTCTGTCATAAGATGTGTTTGAAAGAAAAGAATTGTAAGGTAGCGATAATTAAACAGAGAACGATGGTTGCTTACAGATTGTGGAATATTTATTTTCATGTATCATCAGTGACCATGAGATGAGAACATTGTTTAAATTAATTTGTACAAAGAAATGTGAAGAAACTTTTCTCAACAGTTCATTTCAACAAATGAATACAAACTATGAGCAAACACAGGCCTCTCAAAACAAGTGGGATTGTGCCATGGAGAAAATAGCGTTCCCTGTCAACCGGTCAAAACCCGCCATAAGCTCCTTGTGATTATCGGTACACGGAAAAATTGGTAGACAATTCAGTGTGAAAATGATGGGTAAACAATTTGTATGAAAGACGTCAGTCAACGTTTGACTTAACGACAGATGCTATTTGGAAATAAGGCTATTGCATCAATCATAATGCGAAACGTTGACATTAAACGAGATCGTTGATATCTTTGTATCATCAACTTATTTGTCAATAGCCTGTCCCGTTTAAATAATTGTTCGTACAAAGAATGAAATAAAAGATGACGAACAATAATCGATCTCAAAAATCTTTTAAACAATACAAATTTGTGAACAAGGCATAAAAACACGGACATCTCGGATCAGGTGCCTAGGAGGAGTAAACATGCCCTGATGACCTGTGACACTCGTCGTGAGCCCTATGTATTGATCAAGTAGATGGAATAATACATGTACGCAGTCAAATTTAGTATAAAAAGAATACCTTCAATTGCTATGAAAGATGTCAGTCAAAATACGACCCAATGATGAGTTGCATTTGAAAATGATCATTATTGCGACAATAAAATTTTCGAAATAATGACTTTAATAAGCATAGAAATGAAAGTATCTGTTGTTAATTGATAACATCTAGAGGTCGAGTTGAAAGCCGCAGCAAGTGTTTTCTTATAGAAGTTTCTGAGTAAATTCTGTTCCATGGGAACATATATACAAACAGGATACGTAATAATAGAACACAATTAGTGGCTATCAAAATTTCCACAAATTGTTAGAAGACGTGGTCTCCAGAGACTACATAAATGTTGTTACTGAAGAGCACCAACATCAGTCCTTTCAACCTCGGCGTACTTGTATGTAGATTCAGAATGGTTTTAACAAAATAATTTTGTAGATGACCAATCACAAGTTATGAAAATTTACGAGTTCTACTTTTAATAAGAAGTAGTTGTCTATAAGTCTTTGAATTGGAGTGAAGAAATTGAATTATGTGTAGAAAAGTCTTACGTTATGATGTAACTGCTTTTTGAAAAAAATGTGATTTTGAATTTTCTAATTTTTGAGAATCAACATTTGATTGATAACACTTCTAGAATATGCTGTAGCACAGTATGTCTGAAGTTTCTTTCTCACAGAAGTTAATATTTTTGTGAGGAGTATAGATAGGGACTTGGTAGAGCATTTGCTTGTATCTTTGTTTGTAAGGATTTTAAGAAGTTAAGGAATCCAATACAGGTAGGATAAATCGAACTCCATTCGTTGACTGGAATGTTAAAAGTATTAAAGACTGAAACGTGATTTTGAAGATATTTATCCTTAAAAAGTAAACTGTGAGGAGAAGTTAGATTTCCAGATGTAGAATTTGAAACCTTATGAATCTTACAAAGACGAGAATCCAGCTGATTACAGTTTGTTTGTTTGTTTGTTTTTTTTTTTTTGTTTTTGTTTTTTTTTTTGGGGGGGGGGGTGTTTTTTGCATGTAATAGATAAAAAATATACCATCAACGTAACAGAAGAAAAATTATAAGTGTATTCGTAAAATATGTGAATTTCGTATCGCTTCCTGTGCAAGATACATGTAATGTCATTTTCAATTTGTTGAAATATAAAATGTACATTATACATGTTCGTTTGTTTATATAATATGAAAAAAATCTACATAAATTCCATTTATTCTAGTATACTTCCCTGGCCATATTACTATTCTGGATGAATGGGAGGCCAATCGCCCTTTTGATTGGCACGGTTCCAAAATTTAGGGGGTAACTGCATCAGTTTACACAATTGCAACAGTGATACTTCCACGTTGTTAAGAATAAGACTTTTACACTACTCACCATATGAAACAAGGGCTTTAGTACTAATTGTGTAAGAATGTTTTTATTGACAAATGTTGGTAAATATGTACAAACATGGCATTATATGTACAACAAAATATATTAACATATGAAATGCAAATGAAATGGCGTTAAAAAGAATAAATAAAAAATGTTAAAGTTATTTCTTTCCTAAAATAGATGACAGAAGATTTCTAGCGGGAATAAGCACGTGATCAATGAGATGAACGACTCCATTGGTGGCGCTGATGTCAGCCTTGATAACATGGCCGTTTCTATTCACCGTTACAGCACCTCCTGAATTTGAAATAACACTGGCATCAACAACATCAATGCATTATAGACCCGGAATTTGAATTATAATTATATAACCATAAAGATTTTATTCCCATTCAAATTTGTCGCAGTCTCCTCCGGAAGAACATAAAAGCTAGGAATGAATGACATATTAACTTATAAATAAGATACAATTTATATTTCAATACTGATTATAGTTATTAAAGAGCTTATTGACCCAATTAAACGTATATTACCTCTAACTCCGAGCCTGATGACGTCATGATGAGTATCCAATGTCCTCAAGTATTCGCGGTTGTAAAGACCAGCTGAGTATTCAGTGTGAGGAACAACATGGTACTCCAGAATTTCTGGAAACGAAATCAAAATAAAAACTGGCCTTTCTTTCAATGTAACATTTCAGCATGCAGAAAAATAACTTCAATTCATACAAACCTTTAAGGAGTTGAGGATTTCTTTGTAAATTATGCAGTATATACATGGGATCCAAGTTTATTAAAAGCTGCATTGGTTGGCGCAAACACAGTGAGAGCATCACCTGTAAAACAGACAAAGATATTTACAATTAAAATTTTACTGGATATTTCTCTCGTTAACCTTTTGACAATCTCCATGGAGATGTTTTCCTACCCTGTAGAGCACCAGCTAAGCCAGCTGATTTGACCTTTGATAGAAGAGTACTGAGGTCACTGTTGCCAGCCACCAGATCCACTATATTTCCAGTAGGTGGCATCATCACTGTGTCGATTACGTGAACCATCCCGTTGGAGGCTGTCAGATCGAAATGGGTGATTTTGGATCCTTCACCTGTAACAACCTACAATAGAACAAAGTATAAAAGAGGTTTTATGAAGTCTATTTCTTATGAATATAACAGAAAAAAAACTGAAGAAATGACACATGATGCGTTCTTCATCAATTGGTGATCAGAAATTGTTCTCATGTCAAGTTCGTTCAGTTTGAACTTAGATATTTGTGATGGTAATTTTCTCTATCCTCATTTTTGATAAGTTGTTATATCATCAAGACAAAAAAAACGAAGTTTTATTGCATATCTTAGAGACGTTCCAAATTTATGTTTAAATGGCAACAGCTATATTTTGAAGCAGGCTATCAATAGATCTTAGGAGAAGAACTCACATTGTTATGACTGTAGATGTTGAATCTGATTTTGGTTCCCGCCAAAGTCTCCAACTGAAGTTCATTAGAAGCATCAGCTTTGTGGATAGATCCCTTGACCACGTGATATTTCAGAATGTTGGCCAGAGCTGTGGTGTCCTTTGAAAGACTATCAAGTGTAGCTTGTGGAAGCTTGGAGAAAGCGGCGTTAGTTGGAGCAAATATGGTATATTCCCCTAATTAACAAAAATATGCATACTCTTAACTATAATATAAAGTTATTTGTAGCTAATTTCACTACTAAGCAATTGGCGTCGATCATATCAATGCATTATCACAACACCCACCTATAGATACATGTAGACCATAATAATATGGCAAAGAAAAAAATCAGTTAAAAAAAACATTTTGTTTAACCAAAAATAAAAAAGTTTAACTTTAGCGAATTCACTTCTAAACTTCTTAACCAAAAATAAAAAAAAGTTTAACTTTAGCGAATTTACTTCTGTTATTGGGAAACATTCTTTTTCTTTCAGAAATTTATCAGAAACGATTCTGAAAACTCAGATAGATTAAGCTCTAAATTACCTCCCAAAATTGTATCAGCTAGCCCTGCCTGTTGAACCAGTGAGATGAGCGTTGTTTCTCCGTCAGCTTGGAGAACCTCTACTAGGTTGTCACCAAAGACGCTGTGGACCAACACAATAAGGGAAAGGAAGGCAATCATATTGTACTCGTTCTTGTTTTATCAACTTCAACAATAAAGCGAAAAGTTTCCCTTCTTTTATACTTATAAATTCATGTCTCATTTTTATAACGTGTCTCTAACCCGTGTTCATTTTCATGTACGTGTAGAAATATCCAAACATGTTCAAATGCTCCTGGGGGACTATCAAAAGGTTCTTCTGAGATTTTACGTTATCGTATTTATTTTTTCGATTTTCAAATTGTTTAAAATATGTATTCGATATCAAATGTTTGATTTTACACTAAAGAGTCCGACAATGTTTTTTAATGTCGCTTAAAATGAGTTCATTATAATTATATCCCATAGAGAGCCTTTGATTATGAAAATTACAGGTAGATAAGCAAAAGTGAGCTGGCCGAAGGACCAACGTTGACCACGTGATTCTGAAATTCACGTGTTTAATTGTGAAACAAACTCTATGCTTGTCAAAAAATTTCATTAATGCCAATTTTAAAGTGCCAAAGAAATAATGTGTTTGCTAATAGCTAAGCTAACACGTTCAATGCATAGATTCAAGCATTTCCACCATAAATAGAATACCATGAATTCACATCTCAGAATCACAGTATTGAATAATCATGCATGTAATACGTTTTTACAGCAGCCTTTTAACAATTTTCGTCAAATGCTCGCCATTCTTTCATCTGCTTGCATTTGAAGCAATGCTTCTCTCCTTTTCAACAGATTAAAAAACGTGTATATATATATATATATATATATATATATATATATATATATATATATATATATATATATATATATATATATATATATATTAGGGATGGCAATCGAATACAGAATTGCCAATCGGTTAACCGCAAGACGTTCCGACCGATTAGTCGATTAATCGTATCAAAAATCCTCGATATAGCTACACTCAAAATGTAAACTGTAAGACTACAAAGATGTTCATGTAGTAATATGCTTATATTTATATATGATCAGAATACTACATATGTTGTATTTCAATTTTAAACTGAAGTTGCAGATGCATTAAAAATTTTTCAGAAAAGATGTCAAGGGAGTTCATTCTGCATTGTCACCATAATCAAAATTAAGTCTGAATTATCGCATAACTAACGATGTTTGTTTTAGAATATAATTTGATAGGTAACTGCAAATGATAGAAGAGGTAAAATACACCTTATAATCAGTTCACAGTAGTCAACGATCATTCAGTTAAATCATTAAAGAAACACAGGACAGGGTGTGTAACGACATGTGTTTAAACAGCAATTAATTAACGACTCGAAAAGTGACCAATTACCCCCACGCGATGACAATCTGGAGAGCCTTAATTATCTCCGAATCAGCTTAAATAGATAGGTGAACATGCTAACATTTCAGAAAATTTTATTTGTATTTTTTTAAATTGAATTTTCAGGAAATTGTATTCAAATTAACACATATATTAATTTTTTCCGACTAATCGATTCCAGATTTTCTAACCGATTGCCATCGTTCCGACCGAGTAACCGGATAACCGATTACAAATTGCCATCCCTAATATATATATATATATATATATATATATATATATATATATATATATATATATATATATATATATATATATATATATATATATATATATATATATATATATATAGAACAATTTCTTTTTTTTTTAAATCAAGATAGCAATAAATTTTTCAACATTGGTAAGATTAATTTACATTTCAACGTGAGAGAAAAAATATTCTGTGATATCCAATAAATAATCCAGGGATCTTTTTTTTTTGTTACACTCGTCACGAAGGGACGGGAAATCCCGAGTTTTGCCGCACTTTTGCTATTTTTCACAGTGTGAAATACCGGTAAAATCACCGATATTTTTTCATCTAGTGAAAAAAATATTACTTTTATTGTATTAATAAATCACAATTTTTCATTGTTGAAAATAATAATGAATCTTTAATTATCATTCAGTATTTCTTTTAATTTGTAACACAGTGGGTAAATGAATTATGATGCTAGAAATTCCGATATTCTTGTAAGTTTCTTGTGCATTCATTTCATTACAAGACATATACATGTACCTGCCTCTGTGGAGAACATCCTTATATACAACAAGGAGAGCTTTTTTGTAGATTAAATGCAATTTAAAAAATAACTATCATACATGTCGTTTTAAAATGTTTTTGTTGTTGTTGTTGTTTAACGTCCCTCTCGAGAATTTTTCACTCATATGGACACGCTGCCACTTGCCGGTGGAGAGCTGCACATTATGACCTATGCTCGGCACTCAGCGCCATTGAGCAGTAAAGGATCTTTTTCGTGCCAGCACCTACTGCAACACGGGGTCTCGGTTTATACGGTCTCATCCGAAGGACCGGTCTCCACGTCCCACAGTGCTCGAACGAAGTAAAAGATATTGTAAAATACATTGCAGATATTGACCATAACCATCATTTTGTATTGTTATGTCAAGTGTATAAGGAGTCAAAAGTAGATTGAGATAAAAAAAAAAAAAAAACAATTACTGGTGGTATGTAAAACCTATCTGAGAATGACAATAATGATGGTGATTTTTCTTTCTTTTTTTGGCATAATATGTTGGTAGAGCATTTTATCTGGACTGCCCCTTCTCCCTTCAAAAAAAAAAAGAGAAAGAAATGAAAAGAAAATTGTCACCAAAATATACAGTTATAGTTAGGCATATTATTCTTCCTGATTATATTTACAAATACGTTGTATGTGATCGTTACATAGTCTAGACTAATTGTCTACTCAGTATGTTTATAATCATTATAAACATACTGATTAAAATTAGACTACATGTATGTTAATATAGTTATTGCTAGTTTCTTATTCTGTCATGAGATTTGTTTGAAAGAAAAGAATTGTAAGGTAGCGACAATTAGACACAGAGCGAGGGTTGCTTACAGGTGTGGAATACATGTATTTATTTTCATGTATCAGCAGTAAGCATGAGATGAGAACATTGTTTAGATTAACTTGTACAAAGAAATGTGAAGACAAGGAGCAGTGATTATTCTCAACAGTCCATTTAATTAAGCAAATGAATACAAATTATGAGCAAACACAGGCCTAAAAAATTAAGTGGTGGTGGGTAGTGCCATGGAGAAAATAGCATACCCTGTCGACCAGTCAAACCTGCCATAAGCTCCTTGTCAAGATCGGTAAACGGAAAAAATTGTAGACAATTCAATGTGAAAATAATGGATAAACAATTTGTATGAAAGACGTCAGTCAACATTTGACTTAACGACAGATTTAATTTGGAAACAAGACCATTGCATCTATCATAGAATTTGCGAAATGTTGACATTAAACGAGATTGTTGATATCTTAGTATCATCAACTTATTTGTCAATAGCCTGTCTCGTTTAAGAAATTGTTCATACAAAGAATGAAAAAAGGTCAAGATAACGAACAGTGATCGATCTCAAAAATCTTTAAACAATACAAATTTGTGAACAGGGCATAAAACACTGGCATACTAGATCAGGTGCCTAGGAGGAATAAACATGCCCTGCTGACCGGTGACACTCGCCGTGAGCCCTATATATTTATCAGGTACATTGTAGATGGAATAATACATGCACGTAGTCAAATTTAGTATAAAAACGATACCTTCAATTGCTATGAAAGATGCCAGTCATACAACCAAATGATAAGTTGTATTTGCAAATAACCATTAATACGACCATAAATTTTTCAAAATAACTGTCTCACATCAGCTATTTAAGCGTCGGCTACAAAGGTAATACTAATAAAACGACTTCGGAAATTGTTTTTTTTTTTTAGCTACGAACAAAAAAAAAAATATATGCACTTCTCTGTTCCAAGATGCACAGCGATGGAGGGCCAAAACAAACACTACATTTAGCTAGGTAGCTTGAATTACTTACCACGCCTGCTTTCCTTTATTTATAATTATATATATTAAGTACAGGTCCACGTAACAATCAGGCAGGAGGTGATACAAAGGGTATTCAGAAATTAATGAATTTTCACTCACAGTTTTTTCTTGGTCTATAAGCCGTGTATGTGGAAGGAAAAATATTTTGGGTCATTGTTACTATGGAAACCTGCACAAAGAAATTTCCCTAGCAACCGCCCAATTTTTCTTTGTAGATTGATGAAATTTCACTCATTTTGAAGGCTTTATACGAAACGTAAATAAAGTGATTTTTTCTTTTATCTTGTGTAATAAGAAAGATACATTTTTAAAGTGTTCTGTCAACATAATAAAAAGAAATTACATTCTCTAATATATTTGCTATAGACACAGGTAAAGATACATGTTTCCCATTTTTTGCTGATTCAGCATTTTGCTTGATTTTAGCAAAAATCAAGTCGATATTATTCATTTCACCATCTTAATACAACTGTTTAATCTATTTCACGTAAAACCACAGGAAATCTTCTCTAGGAATTTGAAATAAAAAGTTTTGCAAATTTGAAAATTCCTATCTGTTGCTAAGCAACAGTAATGGATGGTTTGATTAATTAAAAAGGGATAATTGTAAAACATTGGAAGAAAAATCGTATAAATTGTAATCATTTGAGTAACAAATACAAATTTTAAACTAATAAAATATTCAATATTCTTCCTTGTATACTAAAGTTTATTTTACAAAAAGCTATCTCCATAGCAACAGCAAATTTTCCTTAGCAACGAAGCATTGAAAGTTATTTTTAGCACACAGTAATCTAAGTTTTAAAAGATTATCTGATTCTTATTGTTGGATTGCTATTGCCCAGAATCGACATTGTCAAACTGTTTTTTAAAAAGTATTTTTAAGTTAATTCATCCATAGCAACAGAACTTGTCTACATAGCAACAAATGTATTTTATAAAGAATCAGTATGTAGCAATTCCTCAACAAAATTTGTATCCTTAAAGGATGTTTACTAGGCAAAAACATTCTACTTATGGGAATGAAAAATCATTTATTTGACTCATGACTGTGGTATTTTTTTTCACTTTGAAATAGTAAATCAATGACCTA